GCCTGAGAGCAGCCTGGTGCGGCCATGCCGCTGTGGGCGACGGCCGCCCCGTGGGAAACGCTCCTGCGTGCCTGTCAAATCAGTGCCCGCTTCTTGCCTGCAACACCAGCCAGCCAGCCCCTTGTGCTTCCCAAAACACCTGTTGGTGGTGGTGTGGGGTTTTTTTCGTTTTTTTCCCCATCTACTCATTCTGTATAACCCTGCTCTGCTGGCTAAGTTGATTTTATTTGCTGAGAAGTCAGTCTGAAGTGTAAACATTTCTGCTGAACATGAAGGTATCCAGAGACTTGAAAGATGTTGCTGTACAAACCATCTAGCAGTTTCTGTTTCCTTTTTTTTGTATTCCCAAAGGTAAAAGGAAGCGACTTCTCAGGACACAGCTGTGCATGTTTTCTGTGCAGTGATGAGGTTATTTACCAGTGATAAAGCAGAAAAAGGAGACATCTCACAGACTTCTTAAACTGGAAATGAATGCGTTAATGCTTGTCTCTATTTGTGTGCTTTAGCTTGAAAGCAGGGATAATCTATCTGAGGTGATAACTTTCTTGTTATGATTTGGAGATGCATTAATATTCCTAGGACTTGCAGATATATAAATCTCTTATTCAGATAGGAGCTAAACTTCCCTGTAAAGAGCCTGCGATTGCAAGAACCTGCCTCGGTGAAAGAAGCTTGTGACAGCCTTGAGCAAGACTAGCAAGTCTTGTTTTCATCTGAGACGAAAACTCTGCCAGTCAATACTAAAAATCAAATGTGCTCGTGTTGGTAAAGAGAATTTGTTTTATAAAAACAAATGGCATATGTTATAATCCAAAAGTGTTTTTTAAAATCCTGGTAAAAACATTAGATGGTACTAAGTAAGAATTGCAAAGTCAGCATGCTTTTATAAATTGTAAGACTTTCACGAGAGCTATAGTGTATTTCAGAATTTTCTAAGCTGAGTAACTCACTGGGATAAACGCTTGTGTTCTTGAAAAGGCAATTTTAACACCATGACAAGAAGCAATTAAGAAAGCTGCTTTCCTCCAAAATACGGTTTATGTAGGCCTATAGACCAATCCTACCCCATTATTAGTGCCAAAATTTCTAGACTCATTTACAAGTGTTGCTTCTGTAATGAACAGTACATTAAGAAATAGGTAGAGACAGAGGCTGCCGTGAACATATCTTGACCGACATTCCTGTAGAAATCTTGTAGAAAGTTCTCTTTGTCTTATTTTGGATATCAAAGCTAACTGGGAAGTTTGAAAGTAGGTTTGAAGTTTGCACCACTTATGTGCCTGACAGTAGATCCAGTAGTTACTGGGATGCTTCATCCTTAGACATGCTTACAACGTGAAAGTCTCCCTTAAATATTCGCGTACAAATCTAGCTATGGTAGCTGTAGATGCCCGCTTTTCAAAAACAAAAAGCTGTTTAACACCAAAGTACAGTACTGTTGCAGTTGTGGGAGCTTGTTATCTGGCAGCTTGTCAGAAGATGTGAACTTTGGCTGTTTGTCACCTTTGACATAATCCGTTAGAGTTACAACACATCTTTGCTGGTAGTGCAAAAGGAGTGTCATGCTTATAGAGCACGACAGCTGCAGAAGTGGTAAGAAATCCAGACTCACCTTCTTTGGATCTTGTAGGAAGATTTGAGAGTTGATTAAACTAGAACTGCATGTACCTATGCATTGCTTACATTCGGTTGTGATAATGTGTTCTCTGTAACACTGAATCATCAGAGCACTCCTATGTCCTTCCTAACAATATTAATAATAATTTTATTCATTTATTTATTTTTTAGAACAAATTATCTCTCGGTGTTTGTCCTCAGATCTGTCATGAAGCTCTCAGAGATGAGGCAACTTACCCTTTGAATTCCTTGGAATAGGAGATATTGGAGCTGGAATTTCTGAGGGAGGAAGTTCACTGTTTCAGTGGTTGTTTCTCCTTTGCTCATTTCTTATATGCTTTTCTTGTAAACTGCTTTGCTTTCCTAAGTATCTGTCTGCATATCAAAATATAGAAGTTAACTTTTGCCTCCGTTTAACTTTTTGAGGGTAGGAACAACACCTATCCTCACCCCTGGACACATACCTGGGTATTTTTGATCCAGATTTCTAATGTACAAATGCTAGGCTCAAACACAAAAGCAACAACACATGTACTTATTCCACCGAGAAAATTTGAATCAACTTAGGAAATACTTCATAAAAAGCATACGTCATGTTTCGCTGTATGTCTGGTGCTCTGTTAGAGCAGGGGTCTTTTTCATTTCCGCTTTATCCTTTCAGAAGTTGCTTCTTGTCAAGTTTGGTGCTGTCTCTTAGGTATGTTAGTTTAAAAAAAAAAAGCGTCAAGTGCCAAGTATTGAGCAGCTGTGTTTTGCCAGACTTCTACTTTCAGAACAGAAGGGAGCGAAGGCTCTGAGAAATTGCCGAGTCTCTAGTGCAGGCAGTGTCAGTGAGCAATGCATGTGTAAACCACATGCAATATTTGCTTTAGTGAAGCTGAGAAAATAGTCATGACTCTTACCACAACTCAAGAAGAATTCTTTTATTCTTTTAGTTATTAATGTTTAAGGCGCAAATACCTTCAAACCAGAACAGGATTATGTAATTATATAATAAAGTTTTCTACAACTGTAAATAATTGTATAAAATATTCAGTACTATTTCCTAACAAATATAATATCGCAGTGCCAGAGAGGTTATGGAACCTCCAGGCTCAGGGGTGTTTAGAGCTCAGCGGAACGAGACCCTGAGCAACCTCATCTAATGTCAAAGCTGCCCTTGCTTTGAGCAGGGGAATGGAGTAGGTGACCTCCTGAGGTCCTTTCCCGTCTACATTAACCTATGATTCTGTGTCAGTTTCTGGGCTGAGAGGCTGAGTTGCATCTTCACCAACAGCAGAGCATTTTTATGAGAGGCAGCCAATAAAATTTTGATGAGGGGGTTGGTGTAAGTGTATGTGCTTTATATAGCCAGGTTGAAGGAGCAAGAGGAGGTCAAATTAAAAAAACCTGCTTTTGGATTTCCACTTCAGATTCTTCAAATATTGTAAACTGCAGTTAATAAAATGCTTAGGCACTCCAAAAGAGGTCTTAAACAGATGAGGGTGCATAAATCCAAATTTGTGATCTAGATGCCGGTATTAAACTGCTGTATACGCATGGAGGAGCCCAAACTCAAAGTACCTCCCATGATTGTTTGGAAGCTTAGTGAGTTGTCTCTTCAAAAGCCTGTATTTGCCCCAGTTCTGAGTGGTCTGATCCATCTCTCCTGCCAAGCCCGGGTATGGAAGCTAGGTACTCTGCCTGTGACACTTTTTTTCCCTCTCTCAGCCGCATGAAAAGGAGCATAATTCTGTGCCTTCTTAGATAAAGATTCTGTCTTAGACTGCAGGTATCTTAAAATGGCAATTCACAAATCACAGACCGTGCCCAGAATATAGGTGCCTAATTCTGGGTATGGAATCAACTTTGACCTGACATCATAAAATCAAGAGCATGCAGCTGCTTAACGTGTGGGTGCTGAAGTCCTTTTCTGATTTATTTCCTTATAAATATCTAAGTATTTTAATTAGGAATCAGTGCATCTTGACCAGGAGACTTTGGTGATTTATGCAATTTGACCATTGATTTGTAATATTGTTCTCCAAAAGCTTTGTGAGAAATTATTTGAAGTAGGTACATTTTAAGAAACTGGGAAAAACAAAGAGAATGCAAATTGTGAGATCAGCATGACTTCTGCTTTCATTTTAGAAGAGAACTCTCTAGGCAAGCTTTCTACAGATAAACAATATTAACTTACTGTCACTAAGTTAAAATGAGAAGGAGGGAAGGTGGCTCTCAATCGGAAAGCACATAGAAGACTGGACTACTGGACATCATTAGGCTAGTGGAGTTGTACAGAGTCGTGCCGTTTCAAACATATGTCTCTGAAATAACGTCATGTCATTAAACATAATGGATTAATGTTTTAGTATGTAATTAGATATATTGCACCATTTATCTGTGTTATATCTGGGCTGAAATACCAGAAAGGTAGGCTTTATTTTCTGTATCAGCAGCATACTGGCAGATTTATATCAAAAACACTGGCAGCCTTGCTGCCCTCTGAACTTAGGAAGGTGGG